GATTATTATCTTTCAAAGCTTGAATTATTTCCCCCCACGCTCTTTGTGATTTGATGGTTTGTGCAGAGAAATCTGCTGTAATTCTGATGGGTGTTCCCTTGTAAGTGGTCTGTTTCTTGTCTCTGACAGCTTTTAATATTCTGTTCTTGTATTGAATTTCTGGAATTTTTATTATTATATGCCTGGGTGTTGCTCTGTTTGGGTTGTAGGTAGCTGGGGTCCTGTATGCCTCATACATCTGAGTATCTTTACCTTTTGCTAAATTAGGAAAATTCTCCTGGATTATTTCTGTGAGTAGCTTTTGCAGTTCACGTGTTTGTGTCCCTACTTCTTCTTTTATGTTCTTAATCCTTAAGTTATGGATCCTCTTATCATCTTCTTGTCTTTGTATTATTGCTGTTTGTTTCTTTGTTATTTTTAAGAAGTTTTTCATTTCATTCTCCCAAATTACAAGTCTGCCCTCCAGTTCAGATAGTCTGTCCTTAGTTTCTTTCAAGCTGTTATGCCAGTCTTGGATAGACTTCTTAGTTTCTTGGTAGTCCCTTTGAACCTGCTTCACGTATTCTATGCTTTCCCTGTTTTCTCCATCAAACAATTCTCCCCTCTTTTTCTGTTCTTCCATTCCACCATCTGTTTTTTCTTGGGTGGTGCTTAGCATTTCTCTAACTATTCTGCATACTTCTAGCTTCAGGTCATTGATAACTTCATTCCTGAATTGGTCTATGAGGCTCTCTATATGGCGTTTTATGTCTATTGGTGCGGTGTCCGCTATTGCCTGTTTCTCAGAATTGGGGGCTGAGGAGCCTTTCTTGTTGCTGCCTCTTCCCATATTCTCTGTTCCTTATATATGCAAGCTTATATGAGAGGCCCAGCTTCTCTCCCTGTCAGCCACAGCCTGATCGAATTGCGCCGGTTAGGTGTTCCCACTCACCGCTGCGCACCAGGCAGCCTACGCGGGGGCCCGCCCCTCCCACCACCATCAGGCTCTGGGATCTGGGTTGGGCTAGTCTACTGGGTCCACCGGCAGCGTCACGCAGGCCAGGCACTTTTCACCAATCCCGCCCGAGAGGGGAATGTGTGGCTGGAGTCACCACCTCGCCCTGCTCCTGCAGGACTGCTCGGGCCCAGACAGTCCGCTGGAGTCAAACTGTGGTGGAGTGTCAGTTTCTCTCACTCACCTCGCCACAAGACAGTACACGCCTCCCTGCCCGTCCTGTTTTCGACTCCGTTCGCAGACTCCCGTTCTCAGAGCTTCCCCGCGTCTCTCTCCTTGCCAAGCCGATGTAGAGGCAGCGGCGGGAAACCCAAATCGCGGCTTCCAATGGCACGGAGTCCAGCCTCCACACCGAGGCTTTTCTGTTCCTGTTTTAGCACCAGGACTGCATTCCAAGTTGGTTTCTCTCATCCCAATTCATTCCTAAGTCAGCAGAGCATAACTCGACCTGCTTATGTCTCTTTAGTCCGCACCATTCCTGGCTTCTGAACCTAGTTTTTCAGAGAGCCTCCTGTAGTTGCTGTTATCTGTCCGCCATGTTCTCCCGGAACTTGGCACGCTATGAATATAATGTGCACTAACTTATTTAGCTATTCCCTACCATTCTCACTGGATATTTTTAGAGAAAGGTAAAACAATATGAATGTAAACTCTATTGAGCTGAGCTGACAGCGATGGTTGTATGAAAGCTGGAAGGTCCTATAAGGTCTTTGCACCCCTTTTAGATGTTCTCTACGGAGAAAGTAAAGTCAGTCACTGTGACTGAAGTCACCATGGTGACTTCTTCTCTTCAATGGATGATGCAGCCAAACATGAGGAATCCTGGGTCCCCTCTGGATGCCCACAGTGGAGGGAGGTGGAAGGTCCAAGGCCAGAGTGTGGGAAGTGAGTAACAGCAGAAACCACCAAAGCCAGGAGGAAACACTCCCTCTTTGTGTGCACCTGTGAAAACCCCAGTGAGGCTCAGCTCACATGCTGCTCCTGGGCTGCATTGTCCTGGAAAAGGGGAAACAGATGGCAATTTAATAAGAATGTGATAGCATTGTTTGAGGTAAGCAGGGGTTGTCCTTGGGGAATGGGAGAGAAGCACTCAGCTAAGAATCACAACAGCTTGGAGAATGAGCTTACTGTGGCCACTTCCTCCCTCCCTACTTCTGCCCCAGAATACCCTGGATGGGCTAACTATTCCCTCCTGCTGTGACTCCTGCCATATCTCCCCTAAGAACCAGGAGCTGGGGCCAGGGGTGTGTGTGTACAGGGCTGGTGGAGGCTTGGCTAAGTAGTGAAGTAGTATTAACCAGCAGGATCCAAAGCATGGGGCATAAGCAATATGGTAGGGATGGTAAATAATCCTATTCTTGTCTGTTTCTTTTATTTTTCTGTGTACCCTGCCCTCAAGGGCTCCACTGAGAAGCTGAAGCTGCCATGTATTGTTCTCTTAGGAAAGGTAGAGAAGCATTATAAAAACTCAAAAGTGTAATCTCTGCCAACACCAGCTCATAGTTTTGGGAAGCTGTTCAGCTTCTCTGGCCCCCTTTCCTTAGGAGAAGCAGGGAGTGCTCCACACACAGCAGTGACGTGGCGTGGCCCTCAGCAGGCACAGCTCAGAGCTGGAACATGGTGAGCTACCCAGCAAGCATGGAGTGGTCCTTCCTACCCCTCCTCTGTCAGCACAGTCTTCGGCTCTGTGCCACACAGCCCTGTGTGGCAGCAGAGACTCAAACACAGCACCAGAGTGATGTTGCTTGGGGAACAAAGAAAACTGAGGTTGCATGGCCCTTGGGTCTGCTTGAGGTAGCTGAGTTTGCCCAATTGAGAAGACAGAGTCACAGTGACAGCGCTGTCCTGAGAGCTTGTCACCTCCACTGGTTAGGATGACATGTTCCTCTTCTTTTCCCTTGGGCTTGCATGTCCATTACACTGAGTACCCCCAGGTCTTGTCCTCTCCCCTGTCCCATGCACACCCTGTGTTCTCTACCAGGATGGTTATGACTGTTCCTATGACCCCCAGTCCACACAGCTGGGTTGCCGCCACCTCTGCATCATCAGAAACTGGCAACAGGGCATCTGAAGTATAGTGTCACAGAGAGATGCCTTCCCCATGTGTCCTCTCGCACTCCTCATCCACATGCCCTATTGCCTCGTTTCTCCAGTTCTGTGTATCTGGAGGTGACAGCCTGACCTGGACCCTGTAAGGAGCAGCTTGTTGGCTGGCTGCTGCAGCTGACCACTGGCACCCACCATCTGAAGAGCTGTCTGCTTTTTCCACATGTTTCTCCTGTCATGGTTCCACAAAGCATTGCTTCCTTTTCCAAGCTGCTTCTTCTGTGGTTCTGCCGTGGAGGGTGAGGCAAGAGGACCACAAGTTCTAGTCGACTTCTACGCAACTTAATAAGACTCTGTCTCAAAATTTTAAAAAAATGGAGTGGGGGTATGAGGACACTCACACACACAAAGCCAAACCTTTTCTGGGACACACATGTCCCCAGCTGACCAGGCCCCAGCTGCCTTCTGGTCTCTGGCCTTTGCCACAAGGTCGTTTCCCCTCCCCATCTCGAGCTACTCACCCTTCCTCATTGGCTCAGGCCCTTTTCCCATCAGCCTCACTCCTTCCGCCTGTCTCCTCCTGGCCTGACTCCTTGCTTCCCGAATGTGGGGACCACAGGCCAGCTCTCCTCCTGCGGCCACCCATGCGGTTGCCAGTGGTTCCTCTGGGATGTCCATGGTGTTCACAGTGCCCTAAGTCAAGACTCTGAGGCCATTAATTCAGAAGCTCCTCCAAAATGAGGCATGGTGACGATGCTCTGCTCCTGGCACAGGGCTCAGTGCTTGGGGTGTGGGATAAACAGATTGTGTACATTTTCTTAGAGGATGGGGTAGGAATCAGGGTTTTCGTGTCTCCTACTGTATCCATGAGATTTGTAGCAGTGACAAATCCCTGAGAACTCCTGTGGGTGCCAAGAAATCCTCACAACCAAGGATGCCTCACATTCCTGCACCACTTTCGTCTCTGGCAACCCCATTTTGCAGCACTGAGCAGCCCGACCTGCAGCTGCACAGGAGCTTTCAGGAAAGGAAGATGCAGAATGCGCTTCAGAAGCTCAGATTCCAAGGCAGCCGCTCTTTCTCCTGGGAGTTTCTGTCTGTGTCTTCTGCAGGAGATGTAAGGAATCTCTCTTTCCATCTGCAAGGAGCCAGGTGAGTTGGAAAGAGAGATTCCTTACATCTTTCAGCCTTCCACACCCTCAGACTCTCACAAAGCCCTGTCTGGCACCCCATTCCTTTCTTGGAATTGCCCCCCCCCCCCCCCATCCTCCTGCACAGTGAATTCGGGCCTGAAGGAACTCTTCGCTCTCCTTGCCTTGGTGAGTTCTTCTTCCCCTGTCTCACTGGGCCTCTGCATGTCACCTTGCATAGCAAACAGCTTTATAAATATCATTTCATGTAAGATTCAGCCTCACAGGCTCTGGCAAAAACCTGTCAACCAGAACCCCTTCCTTATCATTAGGGAGAAACAATACACTGAATTTTCAGGCCTCATGTGAGTAGTGCAGCCTTAGGGCCTCTCAGTTCCTGGGCTCAACTCTTCCCTCAGCCACTTCTGGGCTGTTACTTAGCTTTTATATGACTCGGTTTCTTCATTAATATTCCCTTCTTAGTTTTGGGGGGTGATAAATTATAAAAAGTTTTAGGATAGTTAATGACTAACCAGGAAAGCCTCAAAGATACAAGAAATTATTGACATCGGAAAGTTTGTTCTTTCAAAAGCATTCATAGGAATCAGCAGTAACTTAATTTCTCAATGCCTTTCTGTATATTTAGTTTTTATCAGTGTATGCCTGCAGTATTATGCATGATGATCACACTCTTCATGGAGTGTTGTCACGTGTACATAACATCTTCTTTTCTCTCCCCTTTAACACTCCCAGTAATTGATTAGTACATTCAGACGCTTCAGCAGAGCCAGTCATTTTTGGTAAAGTCTAAATTATTTGGATTAAAATATCTTCTCTTCTTGTCCTGTTGTAAAATATTGAAAACCAAAATAAACTACCAGAAAAAAAAAAAAAAAAAAAGACAAAGAGAGAGGGAAAAGCTGGCAAGGGGACAGGTTTGGGGAATTGTTTGGCAGGCGTCATTGTGTTCTGGTGGCCTGGCAGCCTACTGTAAACGTGAGGATGTAAGTAGGAAATCAGAGCCCTGAGAGCGATCGCTATCTGCAGAACAGAGCTGCTCCTTTCTTCCTGGTCATTTCCCTTCCCGAGTGTCTGCAGGGCCCACCCACTAGGGTGGTTCTCAGGATTGTAGGTTTTGAGGTCAGACAGGAACCCTGGGGAATGCCTGAAAAAACCAAACAGGCAGTGACAGTCTGCGCAGGCTGCTTGACCCGGAGCCACCGTTGTCTGCGGAGCCCTGCTTGGGTGACAGCAGTGAGCCGGCTTGGGGCTCTGTTCTGAAGCAGCGTTTGTAGCTGACGGTCTTCTGGGGGAACAGCAGGGCCTCTCCCACCCCGCATGCATCACGCAGCCTCCAGCAGCGGATCTGCTTCTTCCTCCTCGCTTGGTTCCACCATGGACGAGATGCCTGAGCCTCTGCCCATGACTGTCCACCTCCTTGCCGACTCTGGCCATGGCTCGCTCCTGCAGCAGGCTCTGGACCAGCTCCTGGACTGCATCTGCCCGGAGGTGCGCCTCTTCCTGGTGTCCGAGCGGGTCAGACCAGTGAAGTACTACGAGAAGTGCCACCCTCGGCGCTCCAGGTTCCCAGGAATGTCGGTTTTGCTCTTCCTGCATGAAAGCCTAGGAGAGGAGCGGCTCTACCGCGCCCTGGAGGCCCTGCAGCGGCCGCCCTGGCAGTGCTATCCTCCCCAGGACGCACAGGGGAAGCTGTGTCCCTACCTGCTTGCCAGCCAGGAGTTCTACAGCCTGGACAGCCAGATGCCGGTCTGGGGTGTGAGGCAGGTGCACTGTGGCGCCGAGCTCCTGCGGGTGACGCTTTACTGCAGTTTCGATAACTACGAGGACGCCATCAGGCTCTACGGGATGATCCTGCAGAGGGAGGCCACTTTGCAAAAGAGCAACTTCTGTTTCTTTGTGCTCTGTGCCACTGAGACCTTCTCCCTGCAGCTCTCCCTGAAGCAGCTGCCCCTAGGGATGGCAGTGGACCCCAAAGGGTCTTCTGTGCTGCAGTTCAAGGTTCAGGAGATCGGCCAGCTGGTGGCTCTTCTACCCAACCCGTGTGTCCCCATCAGCAGCAGCCGGTGGCAGACCCAGGACTATGACGGCAACAAGATTCTGCTGCAGGTATTTCTCCTCTACCTCTATGATCTCCTTCAGCCATGAGAAATTGAGTTATTTTGTGTCTCAAGGAATCAGTCAAGTCTGGTGGTTCTCAACCTTGATTGTGCATTAGGACCTTATGAGTGTTCTAAGATTTCCATGCCAGGGCTCCCCCTAGGCAGTTAGATGAGACTGCCTAACACTGGGGGCACCAGAGATTTAAAGAAAACCCTTGGATGATTCTAATATGTAGCATGGTCTAGAAGCATCAGTCTAATAAAATCTCCTTGTGGGACAAATAAGGAAGCTCAGACCTTGTAGCTGATAGGTAGTTCATAGTAGGCTCGGATGATGCTACCTCTCTAAGCTGCCCTGACCATCCAGGTCAACTCTATGCGCAGACTTTGCCCACTCTTAAGGTTAGAATCACAATAAGCCTTTCCACCTGACCTAACAGAGCTCAACTTGTGATGGTGGTTTTGATGTTAAATTTGCAGGACAAAGGCTCAGGTTCTGCATAAGCTCAAGGAAGATGATGTTGGCATTTTCATAGTAAAAGTTGATATTTCTACAAAATGATCCAACATTCATAAAGTTCACCATTGATAGCACCTGAAACTTAGTTCTGACTATGGTTGTTCATATTATGCTTTAAATTAAGGCTTTTTATGGATAATTTTATTTAATCCCTATAAAAACCTATGAAATCACCATTTTTCCCATTTTGAAGATAAGAAAACTGAGGTGTAAGAAGGTCCAGTTACCCCAATACAGTTAGTAAAAGGTGAAAGATTTATACGATCTGAAGAGAAACCAGAGTATTCCCAATATGGTTAGGAAATGTGTTTCTTCTTCACAGTCCTTGTGGTTAGCTAATACAGCACATTATTCTACAATTGTGTAGATATGAGGGCAGAAGGAGGTCCCTGATCTCCATAGCAAAATGTTCTGTCGCTTCTGTCCCTGAGAAATGGAGAGGAACCCTTTAAGGCTTGTTGGATAAAGTAATAAAAGGCTTCAGTATGAGTCATCTTTCCCTTTAGTAGATTTTATTTAGAAAGCTTTGACTTCTAAATGAATAAAACAAGGGTCATACTGATTCTGTAGTAAATGATTTCTAAATTATTTACCTTCTTGGTCTCAAAGGTGGATAAGCACTCTTTCTTTAAAATTGCCTGTTATACAACACCCTACTTTCCAAGGCATCTGAAGTTTCTGTTTTAGTCCTAGTTAATCAGCAGAATTTAAAATTGCCCTCCATGGCAAACACAAACAAATGTGAGTATGCAGCAGAGTTTACCTTCTGACTCATTCCTGTTTTAAAGGCTAATGGATGTTTTCTTCTTTGGAGCCACGGCTTACACAAGTACTGTAGTTACTTTGGAAAGTTGAATCAAATCTGGGGAGAGTGCAAGAGCTTTTTAGATAAAGCAAGAGCCCATGAGGGATATCAAAATACCCACCTTTCTCTTGACATTGTTGTAGGAGTCTGGTTACCTTTTAGTTGACTGCACATTTTCAGTTTCCTTGGACACACTGGCTTTCTTCTGGTCCCCTGGTGAGCTCTTTAAACTTCATTCATTCTGTTCCCCCTCCAAGACACTGACCTTGGTATCCTCCCATGGTCTCACCATATCCATGACTTTAAACTTTCATGAACAAAGCCAGAGGTTGCCTTCTGGAAAACTCTGCTATTCACAGGGGTGGTGAGGAAAGTATACAAAGACAAAACAGTGGTAGTGAGTGACCTATCAATATTTGTCTCAGACCGGAGTGCATTTTTCAGGATAAAAAGACCAGCCCAAACTTTCTTGGGGCTTTGACTTTTGTAGGTATTGTGGTTATAGCTAAATATTCCCCCAAAGCCTTGGCACTCATAAGTGGGACTTTGAAAGAAGATTGAACCATGGGGGTGTGATACACCTGAGTGATGAGGTTATAGCTGAATGTGGTTTGGGAGGGAAAGCCTGGTCACTGAAGGCATCAGTGGGGCATGGCTTGGAAAAGTCTATTTCCCTGTCTCCTCCCTTGATATCTCTCTGCTTCCTGGTTACCTGGCCACGAGCAGTTCTCCTCTGAAATGCCCCTCTGCTATGCTACCCTGCCTTGGAACCAGCTGACCATTGTCAGAAACCTATACAAACTGTGAGCCAAAATAAACCTCTTCTCTTTAAGATATGGGAGTCAGCCATTGTGTCTTAACTATGAGCAGGTAACTAAGACAGTAAGTAAGTGTAGGCCTAAGCAGCAAGCTAGACCTTATCTCTGACCTCTGACACTTTTGTCTAGGCTATGTCATCAGACAGGCTTTCCTTCTGTGATGGCCAGCTGGTGGTCATCAGTGTTCCCGAGGATTATAGCTTTACATGGGCTCCAAGCACCTCACCTGGCCATGGCCCACAGCATTTCTGGACTATGATGCAGTTGGTCTGGCTTGGATCCAGCTGTCTCATCTTTATCAATGGTTGTATTCAGGAAAAAGTTACTGAGTAAATTAGTGTAATCCCAGAGAGAAAGCTCTAGCCTTTGCTTGGATTCTGGGTGGAGCCAGACTGACTTGGTGGACCCTCAGGAAGGATGAGGGACACAGTGAAGAGCTGAATTGAGGACAGATGCTGATGGCCCCCAATGACTGATGTTTGCCGGGACCTCTGTGGCTCTTGAGGTTCCCAGGGTGAGGACTGTGAAGAGCAACAGAAGGTGAAGAAATAAAGATGAGACACAGAAAGCTGGGATTGGGCGGAGCCCTCTCTCCTGATGGAGAGAAAGGACTGCTCAACCACTGTAGCACATTTATTTATACACTCAGAAGGATGATGTCAGTTTCAACCCCACTGCCTAGCAACTTGTTTGGTTGGCCAGTGTGGGCCTCTTACCTTTTTGAGCTGGAACAGCTGGTTTATGTGGCTTGTTTAGAACTCTGTGTGTTTTCAGGGCTGGCCTTGCTTTAGTCCCACACGTATGATCAATATTCAGCTTCAATGGCTCCCTAAAGATGTCCACCAAAAAATAAGAAAATCTCTCTTTGGTGAAAAATCATAAATACAAATTAACCACAGATTAACCTCTCCAGAGATATGCCTTGCCCAGGGCCAGGATGTTGAAAGTATGTGTGCTCAAGGATCTGAGTGTTGGGCGCTGTAGACACCAGATGGCACCGAAGGAATTAGTCAGCTGCAGAGGAGGAAGGTGCTCCTGACAAAGGAGACAGTGAGGGCACCTGCCTGAGGGTCCGTGTGGCTGGAGTGAAGGGAAAGGGTATGGAAAACAGAATGGACAGACCAGGTCATCAGGAACACAGTGTGTCACAGGAGATGAGCACCAAGAGGGCAGGGGTCTTTTCTAGCTCATGCCAGGGAAGTTTGCACCTATACTAGTGTCTGACACATGGTAGGCAAGTACATAAATGCATTCTTCTATTTATGTATTCATTTACTTTTTTATTTATTCATTTATTTGCGGTTCTGTTGTTGAAATCCAGGGTTTCACGCACACTAGTCAAATCCTCTACCACTCTGCTATCTCTCTAGCCTCTTTTTGTTTACTTTATGGTAGTGTCTCAATAAATTATTGAAGCTGGCCTTTAGCCTCCACAGTGGCTAGTGTGAATGCTGTGTAAAATAGCTTCAATTCTAACGTTAGTGTCACGAGTGGTCACTGGTGGGTCCTATGAATGGTGCCCATGTATATGACTTGCCATGTGAAATCAGAGGATGGCTCTACATAGAGGTGCTATGGAAAGAAGAATCTATAGACCATGCAAGAGCAGTGCAAGGGTCCTCTGCGTGCCACAAGCATGTGGTGCAGCTGATCATATGTCACTGCAGACTGAGGCCTCTCAGAATCTCCAAGCATGTGTTTAAGAGTGAAATTAAAATATTGAGTATATGCATAGTCACCCAGCAGTCTCTGCTGCTGGTGGGAGTGACAATGTCAGTGTGTTGAGGAGAGACAGGGTAGTGATGCCCTAAGCCTGCAACTTAAAGCTACTCTCAATATAACACGTTATTTTGTCAAAGCAACTACAGGCAGTACCACTCAGCTGCTGCTGGTTCTCTGTGTTCTTCAACTGGGTTCTTTGGTCCAAAGGTGCGTTCTTTGTAGCTTTGGTAGATTTCCACCCAACTTGCTATAGTTAGGCTCCCTCTTCCTTGGCTTGCCAGCTGCCATCTCTGTTAGGGTTTTTATTGGTTTTTTTTTTTTTTTTTTTGGCATGGTAGAGAAACAAAGGCAGAAAAGGAAAAAGCCCTTTATTGTAAGCATGGGAGGGCTGTAGAAGAGGGCAAGATCCTTTGGAGGTGGATAAAGAAACCCTTGGGCTTTTATCAGGTTTGACAGGGGGTAGAATTTGAAGAGGCAGGCAGAATGATGTATGGACAGCTGATGAGGAGATACCAATGCACATGAAAAGCAGAAATATCATTTTGGGCTTGGAAGAACACAGAAATCAGTATTGGATGGATACCATGTTCTTTTTGGGTCTAGCACCACACTGGGCCTGACAGAGTTCCATTAGGCTGGAACCCATCAATCCCTCTCTTGGGCCCCTCTGATTTGGAGAGTACAAGCATCAGTTCCATCCCTTTGGTGTTGGGATTCTGACAGTTTCAAAACTCCAAGTCATTGATGATCTTATTTCTGCTTGCTGTTCAGTGGGAAATGGTAAATTATAAAGGTAAAACATCCCTGGAAGCTACACAAAATGCTCCAACAGTTGTGACCATGTGGAGGATGAAGCAGCCATGCTTTTGTGTCATAGGTAGGATCTTAAGTGTCCTTCAGAAACCATGTGTTCCAGGCTTGGTCCCCACCTTGGCAAAATAGGAGTTAGTGGAACCTTTAAGGAGTAGAGCTTAGTGGGAAAACCTCAAGTCACCAGGGTGAGCCCCTGCGGACGACAGTGGAACCCAAGCCCCTTTATCTTCCTCTGAGGAGTTTTCCATGAGGAGTGCAATTTGATCAGAGGCTTGAAGGTGGATAACTGAAGGGAAAATTCAAGATTTTCTTGGGTAAGGCACAGTTAC